TGGCCCCCCCCCCCCCAATGTGGTCACGCCATAAAAACGGCTCTAAAAAGAGTCCGGCGGCTGCCAAGCAAGAGCTTGAAATGGTGTCACTGGCGTCTGCCCCACCATCATTCGAGCAGGGCCCCTGGATGTAGATGTTTGGGGTGTTGAATCCCCCCTTGCCCAAAGCCGTGTCCTGACAGGGTCTCCCCGGAGATGGGACGTGGCTCTCGAGCTCCAGGGCAAACCGCTGAGGGAGCCTGGCTGTGAATGTGCAGTGTGGTGTTGGAGAGCCTCTGGTTGTCGCCAGTGGGCACGGCACAATAAAAGGCGTCTGGGACACCAGGGGCTCCGCCACATGTTCAGACGAAAGTGGGGCACAAACCAGCGCGATATGCAATTTCAAGCACAGACTTCTTAGCTGCAGAGTTGTTTGGATCATGTGATCATTACTTTGTGCTTTGGTCTCCATTTATTGCGCGATTCATCAGTTTGTCATGTGAGAATTAATCAGCATGGGCAGCCTGTCCAAGTTTGTTGTGCAATTTACTCGTCCATTGCATGATGATTACTCTGCATGGGTAGGCAGTCTAAATTTTTTGCGGGATTCGCCATTGAATCATGTCGGATAGGTAACGTGGAGCAGGGGCCTTCACTGACTGTGACCGGAAGGGATGTGTCTTTATCAGTCGCCCTGTACTGGGGTTGTAGAGGAGGGGGTGATCGCGGTGAGTGGGGGATGTTAAATGAGCGGACGCGGGTCAGAATAAAGATAATGTTTAAAAATGCGCCATGATAAACACAGCAAGGGGGTTTCAGAAATGTTCCCCATTGCACAAATTGCTATATTCTGAAGTTGCTGGACATACTCACAGCTCCAGTGGCTTCATGGTTCAGGCCACCAGAGCTATGAGTGTATCCAGTAACTTCCTTAAAAAAAGAAAAAGGGTAGGGATGGAGAAAATGGAGGGGCGCAGGGATGTCATAAAGTGGGGGGATGATTTGTATTTCTTTGCACAGCTGGAGTGTAAAGCCCCACTTTTTAGCTCTGCGTGCTCTTCCTCCGCCTGCTCCCTTCCTCCCATGGGGTGACTGCAGGATCCCACTAGCTCTGGAGGCAGCTGACTCCTGCGTAGGAAAGGAAGAAGCGCTTGGAGGAGACATTTCACACATGGATCTGTGGAGTACCGTCCATTTCATGCTTCTCCTAGTAGAGGGGTGTATTAATAACCTCCAGAAATCTTATTTGGGAGTGTCTGATTTTTCCACTTTTTTTTTTAATGTGCCTAGTAAGGCAGACAGACATTCCCTCGCTCTCATCAATAGTGCAGGTCTCCTTTAGTTTAATTGTACATACAAATACTTTTGGAACGAGCTGTTTTCTCTGACATAATGTTGCTCTTCTGATTCGCATTGTATTGTTACACAGCTGTAAATGAATTTTTAGGAAGTTTTAGAAATGACATCTCATGAATAGGCTGGTGGTGTGTTAACTGGAAGAGGTCTGAATGCTTCTGATAACCTTTTTGTTTAACACTTATATATTTATTTATTTACGGGAACATTGCATAACCAATTTGTTTCTGACAACTGCTTGACTGTTCCTGCATTTATATTTATTTGCTCCCTACAGTACTATTCTGTTTATAGTTGTTTTGCCTGGTATGTGTGACTGACAACACCAGTTAGAAAAGCTGTATTGTATTTGAAGATTCAGAATCTGCTATATTAGGAAATAGGAAATTATTTTGTTTAGATTTCAAGACAAATGAAAGATTTCAAATATGGATGGTGGTAAACCCCATGTGCCAGCTCCTGCTATCATGATGGGGACCACAAATGAAATACTTCCGTATTGATTTCAGTGGGAGTTTAGCCAAGCCAGGATTTCAGCTTGTGTAGGGAGAGGAATAAATGGAAAGAGGTCTCCCCAATTTTAGACGTGAAAGAGACTGAGTGATTAATCCACCCTGTGAAATTGGCTGGGGGAGTAAACAGCAATCTGTGCGCTGAATGCTGAAACTCCCATTATCAATAGATTTGACAGGTGATACTGGACCTGGAGCACTTTTCCCAAGTGTTCTATTGCAGCCTTTGATTATTTAAATCCTGTTGCAGAATTTCAGCTTCTCATTAAAGCTCCAGTTTTCTATTTGTGCCCATGCTGCAAAATAGCAACAAAAGCTAACCATGTACAGTTATATCCTGATATACTTGTTCATTCTGACACCAACACCTAAGTGCACCTGCCGAGTGTTCATCAGCAAGCTCTCTCAAGTCTTTTTTTGTAGGAAAAGTGTGGGACAGATCTGACAGTTTCTTTTCTGTGCTTTAGTGGTTAAGGTTTGTACACTTGCAAATGTTTCTGTAATGGGCGCTTCTGAAATTGTAATGGGCGCTTCTGAAATTCTAATAACTTATTACGATTAATCCTGCAAATGACACTTGTAATCAGCCAAGTTTACTAGCTAATTTTAGGTCTTTTCTGCTTCTTGATGTTTGTCCTGTTCTGTGCCTGGGTGCCCTGGTTGCTCTCCATTATGTATGCTGTCCCAGAAATGGAACTGTTTCGCACACCATGGTTCTCCCTGTGAATACAAACATTATTATCAGCATTCTCCTTCCAGCTCTATAGCCTACAATAACAATCACTTCAGTTCCTCTTAATCTTTATTTGTTTACTCTCTCTCTCCATATCCTTTCCTCTCCACCCATTAATTCTGTCAATATTTTGTATCTAGTCTGCCTTGCTTCCCCTGTGGGCATCTTTCTTTTTTTCTTAATAAAGGCTGTTCAGCCAAATAGTGAGTCTTAACACATTTGGCTGTTACACTTATAGTCCATCATAATTCATTCTGCTCAAGCAAGTCCTCATAATGAATTTCTACAGGTTTACAAGCCATTACAATAAAGAAGGATGGATATATTAACGTGGAACATTGTCTTTTGTCTTGGTTGTTCTCCTAAGGATCTTCTGCACATGAATTGCTTTGTGCTTGAAATAAGCTTACAAAATGACCTGTTGTTTTAAGATTACAGATGATCTGTGCCTACTTTGCACGATGTTCTTCCACAGTGTTACTTATCTCTCCGTTGCTATTACTTCTAAGTGACTGACTGGACTCTATGAGCCCACGGGCCCTATTAGAGAACGCAGGAATCCGGAGGGATTGTTAGACATTTACTAGATTAGCCAGAGGTATTTGTGATCTTCTGTTGGAACTTCAGCATGAGAAAAAGATTTAATGTGATGGAATCATGTTAAATGAAGCAGACACCCAAAATGTGTGTATGTGGGGTTTGGCTGGGGGTGGGGGAGGAGAATAATGCATGAAAAATACAAAACCTGTAATGTAAGAAAAGCTTGAGTGAGGGGGATTTGATATTCTGGAATGCCAGTGAGTTAGTTAAGTGAAGTGATCTTTATCTGAGGGTGATCAGAGATGGTAATTACATTATAAGTAATCCCCAAATAAAACAGTGTTGAAATAGATTTTGACCAATCATATAATTGGGCCAACCATATAATTACTAAGAACGTATTTTTAAACTTTTAAAAACATTTTTTTAGATAACTTAAATGTCATTATCAGCTATATGACCACATACTCAACACTGGATAGACAATAGGGAAGAACTGCCTACCTATGCAAACTCTTCCCTTCCAGTATGTAGGATAAATCTTCTACTTCAGAACTCTGAAGAGGCTGTTGTAAAAGTTGGGGATTTCAGCTGCGTAGATCTGGGAAGGCAAAGGAATTTGTTTGAAAAACGGAGGAGAAAATTTCAAACTGATAAAATGCACTTTGTAATTTCCACCAAATTCTTTATGTTGCGCCTGTATTAAAATCAGTCTAACAGTGAGATTCTGTCTGGGAAATATCAGGGAAATGCTTTGGTTTTGAGGAGCTGGAAGCTGGCTGCAACCTTAGCTATGGAGCAACTAATAGATACCAATGGGCGTTTTTACACATGCTCTGGGAGTGGGAGGGATGCTTTAATTGGAGCACCTTGAAGAGCCACTCTGATTAAAGTACCTGGAGCATGTCATGCATCAGATTCCCCACGCTTCAAGGTGGTGGCCCATGCTGCTATTTTGAAGGGTGTGGATGCTGATACATGAGCTGTGGAGGCTGGCTGGAGTGCAGTAATTATCACGCTCCAGCAGACTCGATTTAATTGTTGTAATTGCAGC